CAACGTTTGTCGTTTGAACTTGTTCCGCAGATGGTCTTGCAGCGAGCAAAGAGTCAAGCATTGTCTGGATTGTCCCAGTTGCTCGGGTAAATAACGCGAAATTCGGTTCGCCGGCCTGAATCCAAGCTCCGGTCCTAGTCTCGGCAACCAAGACACTGAGGTCTTGGATCATCTTGGACCTCGAGTGCAAAAAGACATCTGAAGCAGCATTTTCCTTCAATAATGCTAGTGAAATTACTCCCGCGGCGGGGAGTCCGTATTGCGCAACTTTCCAGATGAGGCATGTCCCGGAGTTTACCAGCTGATCGCGTAGTAGAATGACCTCAACCACAATGGAAAGCATTTCTTTCGCAACCTTCAAGAGTTCGTCGTTGGGCTCGGAGATAGGCTGCTGTGAAACGAGCCCAAGAAGGAACAGGTTATGCAGATAGTCTAACCTGATATGGGCTAAAAAGTCTCTTTCAAAGGGGCTTTGTTGACACTCTCGGAGGCTCGAACCGAGCCTGAAATGACTTGGCAAATCTTGCCACAGTGCTTCAACCTTTCCACGGAACTCCCTAGTAAAATCAGTATCAACGAGTCATTGATGACTTAGTCTTAGCAAACCTGATGTTTTTCGTGACATCCGTCATATTCTTTCTCCTCAAAAGTTGAAGCACCTCTTCCTTCAGAAGGGCAAATCGCGCAACACATCGTGTATCGGCGTTGTAATTAATGGGCTCAAGATGTGCCATTTTTGCGTCGTCAACTTCGTCTTCAATCCATCCATTGTGCACTTTGGGTATTTGGAATTGGCAGTAGTCCTTCACTATCCGCGGAGGTCGTCCAAGAAACACGGCTAAGCCCTTGTCGGCTGTGTAGATCCGACAAAAGCAAGCCTTTCGCAGCTCAATGATAAAAGAAGGGAGGTTCGGATTACACCTCTCGATCTTCTCATGGTAGCCTAGTGCGAAGAGCGAACTTGCAAGATCTCCGATTCGTCTCCATGAATGGTAGCCTGGGTATGAGCAAGGTCAGCAGCAGGCTTCGGTGATTCGATCCGCGAACCTACTCTGATCACCATCTAGATGTGAATGAACGATGAAGTTTTCATATTGGAGGATCAACTGTAGATCATTAAGACAATCGAGGGAGAGGCTTGTCTCCAGGCAATAGTCCCCGATGTAAGTTAGTGCCTGCATCAGTCTTCGCCGCTGCTCATTTGTTGTATAAAGGGGCGGAAAGTAAGGGGTGTCATACGCCGCCCTGGCTGCAGCTACAAAGAAGATACCCAACGTCTCCCACCTCAAATTGGACCCAATCATCTGGGCCAGGAAGTCTTGCCGAGTTGACTGAGAACTCATGTCAAAAGGCCGCAGTGTGTTGGTCAACAGAGTTGCCACATAGCCAGCGCTTGTGATTCCAGAGCCGGAGCCACCACTCTCTCCAGAAATATCAGTCGTCGGAGCGAGGACTTCTCTCCAATGTTCCAAGGACCCTAAGCACTCAATAACGATAGGTCCAGCCAAAGGCAAGTTTACTCCCCTTTCGAGCCAAGAACGCACTAGAGGTGTGACTTTGGAGATGTCCATCTTCTCTAGACGTGACAGCGCATGCATCGCCTTATCCATGACAACCTGGTTGCCAACTAGATCAATTGGTGATGCCAAACTGAGCTGTGGAGTCAAATCTGCATCAGAAGCAGGCCCAAAACCATCACCGGAGAAGACATGGTTGAAGATGGTAGAGTGGCTTGAGATCCCGAGAAAGCCAGGGTTAGGATAGCGATATGGCTGTGTCGATGCTGTCGGTGTTCCTGTATTGGGTGACGGGGCATCAGCTGGAGATTGAGGTGTCGACGAGGTCGCCGTTGCAATGGTCTCTGCCGGCCCAACTGACATCAGGCTTCTGGAAGTAAGTGCGGGTCAGTCACCAACATCACCATTATATAATCGTTATTGCAGACTCACTCCGTCTCTTGGACTTGCGTTCTTGTTACTCTTCTCCGAAAAGGTCTAGATCTGTAAACGCAATGACTCCGCTGCCCACGGCCAGTGCACCGTGTGCAGGCAGGTCTTTCGTGCCCGCATGCTAGCTTCGAACGCCGACAGGGCTCGCACGCAGCAAGTCTCACGTTCATCTTGTTTTTCATATCCGACTCATATGTACCATCATCAGATTACATGGAGGCTGTTTGTTGCTTGTTGTGAAATGAATTCATAGGTTCAGCTCGGAGAGAAGTCTTTCGGCGAGCTCTGGTCTCCTTTGACTCCGATGATGTTGTGGTTGAGTGTTCTTGATTGAGTTTGACACTCCGAACCCCACATCACTCCGATCTCACGCCGTAGTCCCATTTCTCTTTTGTTTCCCCCCACCATCCTAGACTCTTAGGGCGCTTTTGACAGGAACATTCCCGATAAGGAGCAGCAGGTTGCGCCGATTAGTTCACAGAGAGCGAGGAAAGGCGCGAATGTCATTACAGCTATCCACAAGTGAGACATCAATCGGTGCCAATCGTTGCTGATATCTAGGTTGTGACTCCATTAAATTTGTTCCTATCTCTATTTGACCCTCTCTCCGACGGCTCGACGTGAGTCAAGGGCCATCGGAATGGGTTCAACGCAGATTAGCAAAGCATCGAACGTCGTTGTATAAGTAATTAGTCTGGGTATCTCGACATCCACGGATCCTTCTAGCTCACTGGGTTTAACATCATTGTGACTCAGTTCCAGCATCTTCACCTGAATAATTATGGGCGAATACATCAACTCCGACCATGCCTCCATCCCGGACACTGTCACCGATGCCGTGTTGAAGCCGGCTCGGCGCACGGTCCCGGCCAGCAAATGGGGCGTCGCAGCTCAATGTACCACCGAAGACTTCAAGACCAGAACAGACAGGCATAAGCCACTAGCCAAAGATTGGAACCGTGAGTGCTTGGTTCTAGTTCAGAATCTGTGACAGTGACAGCGGAGAGCTTTTGTGGTAGAGCTAACCTTGCCATACCTACCAGACCGTTTAACTCACGAATCGACAGCGAGAACAGGATCTTCGCTAAAGGCAGCTTTCAAGCACCTACAGAATCCGGATGTTATCTCTCTTGGCGGCGGTATTCCACTCAGCGAATTCCTTCCTTTCGAGACACTCTCGTTCACGCCGTCATTCGTTCCAAGCAGCTCCAGGTCAAAGTCTGCATCAGACTCCTCCGTTGATGATGCATGCTTCCGATCGAGCAAAACAGACCTTTCCGAGGGCCGAAGCGTGTTCGATATCTCTGTAGCGCTGAACTATGGTCAAGGTAGCGGGTCTCCGCAACTTCTACGATGGATCATTGAACACACCGAGATGGTCCATAACCCCCCTTATGCAGATTGGGGATGCACCATGACCGTTGGCAACACTTCGGCGCTAGACATGGCCCTTCGCATGCTCGCCAAACCTGGTGACTATGTGCTGTCAGAGAAGTTTACCTACTCGACGGCAGTCGAAACTGCAAAGCCGATGGGTGTCAAGTTCCTTGGTGTCGACATGGATGGAGAAGGCTTGCTGCCAGAGAGCCTCCTCCAGGTCTTGGACACATGGAACCCAGCAGAGCACGAGAACGCAGCGAAGCCATTCCTATTATACCTCGTCCCAACAGGTCACAACCCCACTGGTGCTACTCAAAGTCTACAGCGTCGCAGAAGTATTTACCGGGTGGCACAGCAACACGATTTGATCATTCTGGAAGACGATCCCTACTACTGGCTTCAGATGGACGCCTACAGCCCATCCGCAGAACTGACAACACCTTCCACCACCCCTCAGTCGCCGGCAGACTTACTAAACGCGATCGTCCCGACATACCTCGGCATCGACGTAGACGGGCGTGTCATGCGCATGGACTCTTTCAGCAAGGTCATCAGCCCTGGATCTCGAATTGGTTGGATTACTGCCCCTCAAGCAGTAGTAGAGCGATACAAAACCCATGCCGACGTATCAACGCAGGGACCTAGCGGATTCAGTCAACTCGCATTCTTCAAGCTTCTAGATGAGTTTTGGGGCCATGCCGGGTTCCTTGAGTGGATGCTACATATCCGTGGAGAGTATACTGAGCGTCGGGATTTTATGGTGCGAGTTTGCGAACAGCACTTGCCCCGAGAAATCGTCGCATGGAAGCCGGCACGGGCAGGCATGTTTGTGAGTACTACATTACTTGCATGTAGAATGTTCTTTTACTAAACCCTTGCAGCAATGGCTAGGCGTGGACTGGCAAAAACACCCCGATGCCTCAAGGAGGTCTCCGAATGAGATTGAAGAGGAGATATGGCAAGAGGCACTGGCTCAAGGCGCTCTCATTGCTCGGGGTAGTTGGTTCAATGCCAACAAGCACATTCCGCTGAATGAGATTTTCTTCCGGACCACATTCGCTGCCGCACCCCTGGTTCAAATTGAAGAGGCAGTCAAACGGTTCGGAGCAGCGTTGAGAAAAGTCTTCCAACTATGATGAGGTGATTGACGTTTTGAATTTCGCAGAACTAGAGAGAATCCGAGAAGGAGTAGGCGGAGAACAATAATGAACGTGAAAGTGAAGCTTTTTGGGTAATAGAACTATGAATGTGTATAGCTGTGCTCATTCAAGTCGCTTTAGGATACGCTTGGTTCTGGTTTCAACGAAAGACCTCTAGGCAAAAAATGAGATTGACCGATGACTATTGCTGCGGCACATGGTCATCGATGGGAATGGCCTCACAAGCGAATTGGCCTCAGTGGGGATATTGGTGACATCGGACTCAGCCAATGGAATCTTACCCTGGGTTGACAGGGGGCTCAGGCTTACAACCGCTTTACCACCCATTCGATACTTATGTAACCTCTTAGCCGGATGAGAAAGTGGAATGAACCAATCTTTATACTCGATTTCTCCTGAATATATTCGCTTATAAATCCACGTATCCAAGGTTTCTCGAAAGCTTTGTACTAGGGCAAACTCTCCTCAACAACACCACCACCAGAAGACCAAACTGCTAAAAACCGCTCCGATGGCTCAAAGGGATCAGGGACGAGCCCTTGCCCCCATGGATTGCACCATAGACTCAACACGCCTCTTGGACTTGCCGTTGGAATGCCTTGATCAAATCTTCGGAGACGTCGTTGCGTACGATGAGGAGAGCGAGTTCAATTTGAGAGATGCAACTCGTCTTCTACGTGTGTCGAGTGAGTGTCCTCCCATCACGGCCAATAAGTTCACGCCTTCAGAATCAGCCATTTTCTTGTAGCAGGGCTAATTGAACGTCAGAGCTATTCGAGATCATTGTCATGAGAGCCATCTACATAACCAAACTTCTTCACAAGATGAGGCGCAATCCAGAAGTCGGCATTCTTGCCAAACAAGACCACTCGCACATGGCCTCACCCCAGTGCTGCGTGCAACATCGCGGTAATGCAAGCTTCTTCCTGGCAAAGTACCTCATGATCCAGCCATATCGTCATTTACCGTGGAGTACAAGCCTAGCTACAGTGATCAACGCCATCACTGATAGGACAATACGAGATGATGGCTTGAATCTCGACAGCGAAGAACGGTACAGACGCATCCATCATCTTTGCAAACAAGCCGTCCATCTTCCAGATGCAGTCAAACATTATGGAATTTGGGACCTCTTCAGTGATCATTTTCAAAAGCTGCTCTTTCCTTCGGAGACGGATCCCGTCGTCACAAATGAGCCCTTCGAAGACCTGCTATTCCTTGCCAAATTCTATTTGCAATCAGAAGACGCGGAGAGACTTGTACTATCTCAGATCCTGAACAAAGGTCCTAAATCACTATCTTCTATTGGGATGACCAAATCTCGGGATGGAAGATACGCTGCTTCTTCGCTGCTGGGATCAGTCATGGAAGCTGCGATCAGGAGTGGCAGTTCGAACCTCGCTGTTCTTCTGATTAACTACGAGATCAATACTTCACGAGAAAAGATAACGAAGACGGTCCGAGGAAAGGAGATAAAGGGCGTCAGATTCTACGATATTTACTTCTGGAGGCTAGCCATGGCTTTTGACGACCTGGAGACTATGAGTGCTCTTTTGGATGCCGCAGACCGAAGAGTACCGAGCAAGGCTTTGGGTCAAATTCTTCTGGAAGCTGTGTGCGCGCAACAGCTAGAGATACTCCAATTGATATTGGATAACCAAATGCCGCATCGCAAGAAGGGAACCACTTTCAAAACTTATTACGGCAGTAACAGGAGGAATGAAAGGTTAAAACATGCCATTGACACATGTCTCGAGGAGGCCGTCAAACATGGGCATTCTATGGTGTTCAACGTACTTGCACACACGCCTTACGCTCTAGAAAGACACTTTTACCAGCATTGCTGGAAAAAGAAATGGGGGTTTGACCCTTCGATTCAGTCGACTTCAGATTACTGCCGCCCCGCCAGGTCACTTATTGAGGTCGCTGCTAGTCGCGGAGATGAGGTAACCATCCGTGAGTTGCTCTCCAAAGGACATGGCCCTTTTGGACTTAGGGACAACGCAAAACCTCACCATTGGTTAAACCCATACCACCGCCTCAGCCACCTCCGTGGTCTCATGCCAATGATCGCCGCTGCGAAGAGCCGGCATGTCGGCGCCGCACTTGCTCTGATCAGGGGACACTTCAAGTGTGATGCAGTCAGGTGGCTCTTGATCATCGGAACGGTCCTAGAAGGCAGAGACCAACAGCAACCCCACAGACGACATGTCAACCCGAAACCATCTTCTACGTCAAATATTGATGCAGACGATGGACAACGGCGGGTCCAGCGTGACAGAGATGTCAAATTCTGGCAGGAGTTGATCGACGCAGGGGTTCTGGATCTGCAACATTCTGCCAAAGGATGCCAATGTTCCGAAACACCAATGGCAATGGCGGCGACTCATCCCACCCGTATGTCAATAGAGGCTGCCAGAAACTTCGTCTGCGAGCGGCTCGTCATTCCTTCCGATGCCGAATATCGTGAATGTGGAGACCAGTCGGACGCTGGATGGAACACACGGCAATTTCCCGAGGATATAAGAACACCAACTGGTATTATATTGTCCTAGCAGCGAATTGATAGGGAAGCTAAAAAGGAAAGGAAGTCGTAGATGTCTGCTATAATGAAGTATGAATCAGAAACAACTCGACCCATCATTCATTCTTTGCTTCATGGCCCACAATCCAAGGTTCTATCCAAAACTTCTTGAACACGCGTATGCATCATTGAGCAGATGCTGGGAACAAAGCAAGCTCGCATGAATAGATGCCATCATATCCCTTGGGGTACCTGAATTCCGGTTTGTGTTCATTGAACTTCGCCTGATGTTGCTACCCAAGTGAGGAAGCTATGTGAGCTTGAGACTCGATCAATTTTCATTACACATATATGGAGTCGGCGAAGCTACGATGATCATTTTCCCCTTTTGTTCATAAAATCCACGAAGTCCATGCCGCCCAATCCTACGCCAAAACGAACCCTCGTCAACGGCTGCTGCTTCAAATGAGGTGGGTGACATCTGAGACGTAGCGCTTGTTGGCCTTCTTCGCTGCCTGACCACACTGGCCAGCGATAGCAGTCGTCTTGCCATTGACGGCACACTGGCCGTTGGCGTTGCAAGCACCAGCCCCCTTCCCATCGGTGCAGGCCAAGCCAGAGAACTCGGCTTGGGACTTGCCCTTGCCCTTGGCAGCGTTGGCGTTGCCTGCATTCGCGTTGCCAGCGTTGGCATTGTTGCCCGCATTGGCGTTGTTACCAGCGTTGGCATTCTTCTTCGCGTTTGCATTCTTCTTTGCCGCATTGGCGTTCTTCTTCTTGGCAGCAGCGGCAGCGCCGTTGTTCTTCTTCGCGGCCGCCGCAGCACCGGTATTCTTCTTTGCCGCGGCAGCGTTGGCGGCGTTCGCCTTGGCAGCGGCAGCGCCATTGTTCTTCTTGGCCGCCGCTCCGGCAGCCCTCTTCTTCTTCGCTCGGGCCTCGAGGTGGGCGGCGTCGTTCGCGACGAAGTCCTCTGCACGGACTTCGATCGGGAGGGCAACATCGTTTCCTTGGACTGCGGGGGCTGGGGGACCGTATTAGTACACTTAGGCTCGTGGGATTGGAACGTAATCAAGGATGAGCTTACCAGAAATGACGTTGCCAGCCAAAAGGCCAATGGCAAAGAAAGCGGCAGTTGAGAACCTCATGTTGACTGTAAGGTTGTATTGATACTTCGTGACAGTGAGTGGTATTCTTTGCGCAAGTGACACCAGGTCTTAATGAATGAGAGCTCAATTAAAAAGAGCCGCGCACAGCACGGAATGAATGTAATAGTAAGAAGTAGAACGGAGATAGCCAGATAGACGCTCAAAACAGAAGAGAAGCCTTGTGCCGGAGCTGGAGATCCTCTTCATGTTCTTATGTATGTTGAGATCCAGTCCTCGATGGTATGCCACCACCACATGCTCAATGCTTACATACAGACTTTGCTGTCACACCCTGAAACTCCGGATGGCGGTGTCACCTGAGCACCAGTGCACCACTACGTTCAGCAACACTCCAGATGAGTTTCTTTGACTCGAGATGACAGCCATGAGCCTCATCCTGCAACAAGACCTGTTCAGATGCCTGATCATCCCGTCACATCAGCAGCTCAAACGAGGCTTATTGTGCCGCAGACCAGGGTAGCCCCGGCTCTTCGGCACACCTCGAAGTCGGTTAGGTCGGACTCCCCTCCAGGGCCTTCACCAATCTTGTCGCAAAACTTGTCCGCATCGCCGTTTCAAGCTTTAAAGTTAATGCAACTTGGGCTACAATTGGACCGCAGATGGGACCAGATTTTTTCCACAGGTCTCGTTGCCCAGGGCCCCTGGCGGGCCTTGAGACCAGATTCAAGCTTGTTCTGCCAAACGCGAACCCCCGCACTTCTGGGTTTCGCTGTGCATGATTTTGAAAGAGGCCCGGTCTCTCTTGACAAGAGCCAATTGTTGGGATAACGTGGGAACCCTACTTTAAGCTTGCTGCCTTCCCGTATTAGAAATGACGCTTGTTTTGGGGTGACCTCTGACCTCTTGGTGGTCAGGGATTCCGGAAGCGAGGCCGTCTTCAAACGCGCGATGTTCTAGGAGCAGACTCTTGTTTTCGCCAAGAGCAGAACAGAAAAATGGACTCCCCCGGAATCGTGCATTATTCTCCGGTCGAGGGCTGGCCTGGGGATGTCTTTGCCTAGAGGGGATCGGGGCCGCCGGCCACCGACTTTGTAGATCACTACAGCCATTTGTCACGGAATGACTCGAATCACGGTTGGATTTCTTGGGTGAATAAAAATAATCAGAAACGGCCACCTCAACGATTGAATCATTTGCCTCGCTGAATTCTGTTTCCGCGGCGCAGTCCTCGGCCTCCCCCAGATAAGTCCCATCTTCCCCAAAAGTTGATCGTCCAAACCCGTCTTAGGGATGTGTCATTAACGCTCTCATTCCAGCTCATTTTTACTTGCGCCGACTTTGCGACGAGTCTGGGCGATGTGAGAATCAGGAGCTGAGGCCACACAGCCACAGCCCACCAATGCCACCTGATCTTACTCTGTCGCGCTATTGTTGTTACAGAGTGCAGACTGCGAGATCGTCGCTCTCGGTAGAGGATGTGCCTATCCTTGCCTCGCCCCCAGCTCCTGAACCTGTGCCTGTATCAGGTCCGCGGCAAGTTTTGCCGTGGACAGGACCGTGTTTCCGCATCCTGGTCACGATCAGGAGAATTATTCTGAGCCACTGTAGTACTCAATTCCCCAATCATAGAGGTGATTCACAATTCCAGATGAGGTAAATTTTCTTGGCATAACAATTTTAGCAATTTTAGCCTGGCGAGTTCCTAGACCTCGTTCTCTTGACGTCAGGAATAGACTTACTGTTCGCTAAACTCAAATCGATCCACCGGCCCAGGTGATGCACCTTGGCACCATAGATTTACACAAGCGGAAGCAAATCGTCAGTCAACCCCAGTGTCGTTCGCCTTGGCGTTGCAGGAAGATCAATTGCGTGAAACTTAGTCACGTGTAACCGCCGTTTTCCTATAGGACTCTTAACACGTTGTCAACTTGAACAGCTGCCGGTCGAAGTAGCATATTGCATAGTTCCACCGTTCTCCTGCCTTCAAAGACGCCTACCTGGAACGATATGCAAGGATTAGTGCACGTTTTTCGCCCATTTAGTAGTAAACTATTCAACTCGAATGTGCATCAATCATATGCTCCGACACCACATGTGATTTCACCCGAGCATATCACTTGAGTGCACTCTACTTGCCACACTTTTTTTGTGTTCATTCACTCAAGGAAAGAATGTTTTAACTCGGCGATGCCTTTACCTGCTCCCCAACCTCAAAACTCAAGTAGTCGGGACGAAGCTTCTTGCTTCGGTATAGGTTGAATTTTTTCACCATTAACCGCAAAATGGGGTCGCATTTGCAAGCAAACCAATCAACAGTATGCGTCGACTCACGATGGCTTCCATTCAGCCGATACCAGATCTGGTCATCGGAGGCCAAGCTCTCCCTCCGGTGTGACAATATACATTTTAGGTCTAGACGACGGGTAAAATGTTATGGCAAAATCGGTGCCGCTGCAAGAGCGGGACGGCTTGCAGATCTTAACTATCGAGAGTATTTCTAGAGATTGCAGTGCCGCTGTACCCCAGATTTCGTCGGGCGACACACCAAAATGTGGGATTTAGCCTGAGTTCCATCTCCCGGTGCCAAGGTCCCAAGTGCTTAGTGTACCAAACTTGGAAGGCAACTGCCGCGTTACGCCGAACTTGTCACGAGGGCGTTTCTGTAATCACCCAGTCATGTCAACATCTTCTGTCTCAACCGCGATAAAGTCATTGGGTGTAAGACGTATCGATGTGGTTGCTGTCAGACACGTTTAGCCTCATTTCGCCCAACTCTTCCTGTCCAGTCAGACAAGAATAGCATCCAACTTCGCTTTATAAAAGAGGCATAGATCCAGTAAGGTAGTCAGCAGTAGCAGAACAATTCTAACTCAACATTTAAAGAATAGTAGAATCCATTGATAAAACAGAGCCACCACCATGGTTTCCTTCTCCAGAGCGCTTGTTACGTTGGCGACTGTCTTCGGAGCCATTGCCAGTCCTACTGGGGAACTGATCGAGAAGCGACAATCCACTCCAAGCTCGACCGGATACCACAACGGATACTATTATTCGTGGTGGACTGATGGAGGGTCCCAAGTCACTTACACCAACGGCGCTGGCGGCTCCTATAGCGTCAACTGGGGAGGCGGCGGCGGCAACTTTGTCGGAGGCAAGGGTTGGAACCCGGGAGGCTCCAAGTAAGTCTATATCTCCTATGACATACATCATCTCTAATCGGTTAATCTTTTAGGACCATCAACTACTCTGGCACTTACAGCCCCAATGGAAATAGTGTAAGTAAACGCGACAGGAATTAAAGAGTCGACGATGTGCTGGTGCATTTCAAACTGACCTGTTTGACAGTACCTGGCTGTCTACGGCTGGACTCAGAACCCTCTGATCGAGTACTACATTGTCGAAAACTACGGCACCTACAACCCAGCTTCCGCTGCAACGAAGAAGGGTTCTGTCACCAGTGACGGCGGCACCTATGACATCTATGTCAGCACCCGCGTCAACCAGCCCAGCATTGAGGGCACCAAGACCTTCCAACAGTATTGGTCCATTGTAAGTCCCCTGTGTCAAAAGTCTCTAGACTAGTCATAGTAATAGAGAGGACTGACGATAAATCCAACAGCGAACCTCCAAGCGCACCGGTGGTACTGTAACAACTGGTAACCACTTCGCGGCCTGGGCATCTGTCGGGCTCAACCTCGGAACCCATAACTACATGATCGTGGCCACCGAGGGTTATTACAGCAGTGGATCGGCTAGCATTACCGTCAATACTCCTGCTTGATGATTGAGACTTGATGGTTGGGAGGCGTTATCTGAAAGACAACTTTCACCTGGTTTCAATTTCGGTGAGCAATACTGTCTTTCAGGATGTTGGAGCTGCCAGCTCCCAGTTTATTTCTCTTGTACATATCGCTCCATTCTTCTG